AAAATTAAAAGGTTTTATTGAAAATGTAAACCAAGGTCTTTGTTTAAAAATACAGATTTCATCATTTGCAACTGTTACAGCTACAAAGTTTAACTTTTCCAGAGTCTTCTAAGATGTTATGCACGTTGAGTTCAGCATATTCTCCATTAAACTCAGTGGGACATAACGATAAATGCATAGCATCAGGTAAACATGAGCCAAGAATCTTCTGTCACCTGAAACAGAACCTTTGCATTTCAAACCACAAGCTAAAAAGTCTAACATAGAACTGCTGCCATTTCAATATGTTTGCTATGTTCCTCTAATTTTTCTAGACTGCTATTCTGAGGGTCCAGGCATCCCCTAAAGCAGGGGTCAGCAACCTTTTTCAGATGTGGGCCAGTCCACCGTCCCTCAGACCATGTGGTGGGCTGGACTATATTTTGAAAAAAATTTAAAATGAATGAATTCCTATGCCCCACAAATAACCCAGAGATGCATTTTAAATAAAAGGACACATTCTACTCATGTAAAAACATGCTGATTCCCAGACCGTCCGCAGGCCAGATTGAGAAGACGATTGGGCCACATCTGGCCCCTGGGCCTCAGGTTGCCTACCCCTGCCCTAAAGATTATTTTTCTCATTTTCAATTCCAACTTGATAAACTGTTAGCCTAAGTGGTAAACACACAGGCCCAGATTGGGCCAGGGTGCCTTCCCCATCAGTGATAGGATGGAATCCCTGCCAGATCCACCTCAAAAATGCTTCTTCAGAGTGGCTTGCCCAGCTTCCTGCATCTCTAAAGGTAAAGGGACCCCTGACCATTAGGTCCAGTTGTGACCGACTCTGGGGTTGCGTGACTAAGCCGCCTCTGGTGAACCAGAGCAGCACATAGAAACGCCGTTTACCTTCCCACCAGAGTGGTACCTATTTATCTACTTGCACTTTGACATGCTATCGAACTGCTAGGTTGGCAGGAGCAGGGACTGAGCAACGGAAGCTCACCCCGTTGCGGGGATTCTAACCGCTGACCTTCTGATCGGCAAGTCCTAGGCTCTGTGGTTTAACCCACAGCGCCACCCGCATCCCTCCTGCATCTCTACACCTTTATAATTTCTGCCCATTACCCAGACAATAGTAAAAATGTAAACCCTGCCTTCAGCCCCAAACTTATCAGCACCAGAATTTGGAACAGCTGTCAGCAGTATCCAAGGGAAGGGAGTTTGTATGTGTTCTTGCCTATAAGATCCCATAGAAAATAACATTAAGACTTTCATCCTCCTCCTTATATCTGTCAATATATCCTTATCCTCCTTGTACTTTTGAACTAGAAGCAATAATCCTTATCACAATTCCATTATTAAAACATTTTTGGAGTCGTCAGGTACATCTTTTAAAATACACGTACTGAACCGAGGCTTGTTTTGGCTTCTGTATCTGATTACAAAAGAGTTTTTTCAGGTATAGGGGATTAACAAGGTTTTTTTAAAATGCATGTAATTCAATATCCTGAAACCCCAGATTCAAAATGTTGCAACTTTAATTATGCTTTGCTGCATGGGATGCACAATTCCAACCTGACCAGAACAGGAAATAAACTTATCACAAAGAAGAAAGGGTTTGATTCATAGCTGTCAACGTTTCCCTTTTTTTAATGGAAATTCCCTTACTCCGAATAGGATTCCTCGCGAGAAAAGGGAAAAGTTGACAGCTATGGTTTGATTTTCCCAACAAGAAGTCCACTCAATTTAGCTTGAGTCTTGAGCATGTGTGTGCCTCTAATCACTCGCCTGCAGGGAGAAAATAATGACTTAACTAGGTTTATTATATTTAATTGGGCGGGGGGGGGGGGAGTTGCCTTCAAGTGACCAAACAGGGGAATTTTGCAAGATTTGGCTTCTTTAGGCAACTATCAATTTGCATTTATGTATGAGCAGGCAGGAATAAACACTGAAGGATAGCAACATTTATGGAGATGAGACAGAATTGCATTTTCAGACATTTTTTGGCTTATAGAATGTAGCCAGTGATAATGCAGTTTGAAGGGGAGGGGTCATTGATGCTGAGTGGGGCTTGTGTGTTTTATCTTATGAAAATCCCCCTCCCCTCAGCTGCTTTTAGGGAAAACATACAGGAATCTTCTCTCCAGGCACAGGTTAAAAGCTTCTTTTCATATTCAAAATGTGGCCTCTGTGGGTGCATTTGTAAGACCAAAAAAAGTCTATTAAAAATCACCAAGTCACGTAGAATGGCAATTCTGCTCCTATTTGCAAAGTTCTGGCCAGTTCATTGGTTGCTTTTATCTCTGAAGCGAAGTCAGGGAGCACCCCAGAGTACAAACCTGAGGGTCAACCTACCCCTTGGCAAAACTGAGGGTTATATCCCATGCCCTGAATATAGTAGTTGTGTGTGTTTGAATTGTCCACACAAAAATAATCCCTGTTTGCAGAGAAGTTTGTAGAGAAGTATGCTAGAGAGAAGGGTTTAGCTAAACTTCATTCCTGATAGGCTATCTTCCAATGAGCTGGGAGTTTTGTCTCTTGGGGATACACCCCACCGGTAGCTTGAAGTGGTGGGATCCAAAGAAAGTCTTTTCGTCTGTAACGTAAAAGGTAAAGACCCCTGGACAGTTAAAGGTGACTATGGGGTTGCGGTGCTCATCTCGCTTTCAGGCCAAAAGAGCCAGCGTTTGTCCACAGACAGATTTCCGGGTCATGTGGCCAGCATGACTAAACCACTCTGGTGCAACAGAACACCATGACAGAAACCAGAGCGCACAGAAACGCCATTTACTTTCCTGCCACAGTGGTACCTATTTATCTACAGTAGTACCTTGGTTGGCAACCGTTTTGGATTACAACCATTTTGGATTACAACCATGTCAAACCCTGAAGTGTTGTGTCCCCTTTTTTTGGATTACAGTGGTACCTCGGGTTACATACGCTTCAGGTTACATACACTTCAGTTTACAGACTCCGCTAACCCAGAAATAGTGCTTCAGGTTAAGAACTTTGCTTCAGGATAAGAACAGAAATCGGGCTCCGGTGGCATGGCGGCACCAGGAGGCCCCACTAGCTAAAGTGGTGCTTCAGGTTAAGAACAGTTTCAGGTTAATAACGGACCTCCGGAACGAATTAAGTACTTAACCCGAGGTACCACTGTACAACCCTTTTTTATTATTATTACAACCAAATGTTTTTTGGAGGCCCCATTGGTGAAAGCGTGCCTTGAGTTACAACCTGTTTTGGTTTACAACCAGACCTCTGGAACGGATTATGGTTCTAAACCAAGGTATCGCTGTACTTGCATTGGCATGCTTTTGAACTGCTAGGTTGGCAGGAGCTGGGACAGAGCAACGGGTGGCACTATGGTCTAAACCACTGAGCCTCTTGGGCTTGCCGATCAGAAGGTCGGCAGTTCAAATCCCCGTGATGGGGTGAGCTATCTGTATGTACTTGCCTCCTGTGTGCTGAGGTCTTTCTGGCATGTAAAGAAGGATTAGGCCATATGTTAATCATGACAGAATTCAAAGGAGTCTCAGGGCTAAGCTTTCAAGAGTGATTTAAAGCTACCTTGATTCACTTTCTTAGCTAAAGCACTCATTAACAAATGCAATTCAGCATGAATAGTTTTGAGTTAGATATAAACTAACCTTGATTGCCGGTCCTCTTCTATGTTCATTGGTAAAGGGCTGAAACCTTCATTCACAATGAAATGGGAGTTCGACACAAACTCATATGACTTGGTTCCTTGATGCAGCAACAAGAAAAATGATCGAGGATGGTTGTCTGAAGACATGGCTCAGCTGATTTCACGGCAGGCTGCGTTATCCTAGATGAACAATGGAGTTCTGTGCTTCATAAAGGTAGTCTTGACTCCTGCCATGTATCATTCGGGGAACTTCTGTGCAGGAGACTGCCAAATGGGCCCATTGAAGATTTCTCCATGCTTGTCCCATGCAAAATCGAAGCCACAAGAGCATTGTTTAGATAACTGCATTCGATACTTTCAGAAGCGACCATTCCTGAAATACTGTCAGTGAGACAACCATACAGTGAAAGCACTAAATGGTACTACCTGGAATCTAGAGTGCCAATTCAAAAGGCTTCACATCCTGAACATATTTATTCTCACGCTCTGCTTATGTCATGTCCAGTGCCTTTGATCTATGGTGCACTTGGATCAAACCTGATTAATAGTAAACAGTTTCTAGTAACAAAACAAAACAAAACCCTTAAAAAACACCAGTTATAAAGGACAAACAACCAAACAGCAACAGCAACAAACTTTTAAGATTTTTGTTTCTTGGGATAAAAAGCACATCACTGGATTATCAGAAATATTATACAGTATTATATGTATTTATTAAGAAAAAAAATCTGCATTTTTAATAATTTAAGGCTCAACAAGAGAACAAAACCCCAACTCTGACAACAAAATACTTTTCTGCTAGAAGGCTGAAAATACCACATTCACTTCACACACGAGAAAATCAGTTTTGTACTAAAAGGGGGGGGGATATATTACTTCACTAAAAGTTTCTAGAGATTTTATGAAGTCATACATCACCGAAAAAGTGCTCTTTTCATCTATAAATATAATCAGACATATAGAAAATAGAAATATTTCAGCTTGAAACTACAGTACCAACAAATAATCCATTTACTTCCCATGGAAAAAGAGGGTTTGGACAAATGAACTGTGCTACAAATGAACTGTTTCTTTTTTAGTAAAATAAATTATCCGCAAGCAACATCAATTTGCACTTAAACAGCTTAGAAAGCCTCCTAGATAATGGGAGGTGTCTAGCTTAATCTTAGCTGGTTTTATAAATAGATGACAGTCTCATGGGAAGGGGAGAACATTAAAAACCAAAATGAAACAAAATAACTTGCTTTTTCCTGTAGGTTTCTTAAGAACGGCTACCATATTTCAAAAATGAATACTAAGTGACAGTACCATTTAGCTTTCTCTAACAATTCCATCAAGCAAAGTTCACCTTCTTCCTATTCCCCTTGTCTTACAAGTCTGTTTCCCTGTTGGTATCCAGGCAGAGTGCATAGAGAGATTTTCTGAGATCCATGCTGCTTTTAGCTTTGATGTTGGCCTTTTCCACAGACCCGGTCCCATTGTTAACCCCCTCGGCGTTTTCCAAGTGCACAACGGATTTGTCCAAAGAGTTTTTGCTGGTTCGTCTCTTCAAGTCCCCGGCTGAGCCGCCTTGAGCAGTACTAGACTCCTCCTTGAGGATGGCCTCTCCCTCATGGTCCGTTTCTCGGTGGTAGAAGTAGTTGAAGTTGGAGACAATAACCGGCACAGGCAGGGCAATGGTGAGCACGCCAGCAATAGCACACAAGGACCCCACAATCTTGCCCCCCACAGTGACAGGCCTCATATCCCCATAGCCCACCGTGGTCATGGTGACCACGGCCCACCAGAAGGCATCAGGGATGCTGGAGAAATGTGATTCGGGATCATCAGCCTCAGCAAAATACACGGCACTGGAGAAGAGAATCACGCCGATGAAAAGGAAGAAGATGAGAAGGCCCAGTTCCCTCATGCTGGCTTTCAAAGTCTGACCCAAGATCTGCAGCCCCTTGGAGTGCCTGGAGAGCTTGAAGATGCGGAAGACCCTGACCAGGCGGATGACTCTCAGGATGGCCAAGGACATGGCTTGCTGCTGGCCTCCGTTGCTGCTGCTGCTGCTGCTACTGCTACTGCTGCCCTGCGGCTGCTCCTTCTTCTGCTGCTCCTGAGCCAGCTCCGTCCCCAGCGTGATGAAGTAGGGGATGATGGCCACAATGTCAATGATGTTCATGATGTTCCTGGAGAACTCGGGCTTGCTGGGGCAGGCGAAGAAGCGCACCAGCAGCTCGAAGGTGAACCAGATGACGCACGTGGTCTCGATGATGAAGAAGGGGTCGCTGAGGGTGCTGGGCGCCGTCGGGGCGCTCTCCGCCGTGCCGTTGGGCGATGGGAGCAGGGGCACGCGCAGCTCCCGCTCGTCGCGGAACTCGGGCAGCGTCTCCAGGCAGAAGGTGATGATGGAGATGAGGATGACGAGCACGGAGACGATGGCGATGCCTCGCGCAGAGCTGGAGCTCTCCGGGTACTCGAAGATGAGCCACACTTGACGCTGGAACTCGTGCGCCGGGAGCGGCTTCTCCTCCTCGCGGATGAAGCCCTCGTCCTCGCGGAAGCGCTCCATGGCCTCGTCGCCCAGCTGGTAGAAGCGGATCTCGTCGGCGAAGACATCGATGGAGACGTTGACGGGCCGCCGCAGCTTGCCGCCCGACTGGTAGAAGTAGAGGATGCCGTCGAAGCTGGGCCGGTTGCGGTCGAAGAAGTACTCGTTGCGCAGCGGGTCGAAGTACCGCATGCGCTTCTCGGGGTCCCCAAGCAGCGTGTCCGGGAACTGGCTGAGGGTCCCCAGCTGCGTCTCGAAGCGCAGCCCGGAGATGTTGAGCAGGACGCGCTGCTGGCCGCCCAGGGCGCGCTCGCTCTCCGCCTCCGCCTCCGGCCCCTCGTCGCCCTCGTCGCCCCCAGCAGCCGCAGCCGACGAAGACGGCGGCGGCTCAGTGGCCGAGGGGGCCCCCGCCGCGGGCCTGGCCCTGCCCGGGCGGGGGCCCTTCCTCGTCGGCCGCCAGCATGGCCACGTCGGGTGGGCGCAGGAGGCCTCGCGGCGAGCCGCGCGCTGCGCCCGGCTCCGGGCAGCCCTCCTTGGCGCCGCACTCGGGCAGCCAAGGGAGCCGCTCAGCCCGGCTCAGGCCGCTGCCGGGGCCATCTTCGCCGATGGCCGTGGCGCCGCCGTTCTCCAGCGTTACCAGCGCGATCTCCATGGGGAGCAGCCGGGGCGGCGTCGGGGGCACCAAGAGGCATCGGAGGCGCCCCGCATGCTGCGCCCCGTCCGAGGCAGCCACCTCCCGGTGGGGCGGCGCGCCTCCTCCTGCTGTTGCTGCTGCTTGGGCGCGCACGAAGCGCGCCAAGCGGCGGCCAAACGCGGAGAGGAGGCGGCAGGCTCTCGCTCGCTGGCTCGCCGGCTCCTCCTGACGTCAAGCGAGGCTCTCGCCTTCTTCCCGGGGCGGCGGCGAGGAGGCGGGGGTCCCGGCGGCGCTCGTGTCTCCGGCGCAACCGCGGCCTCGGCAAATGCGCGCGCGCGCGCGCCCCCCACGCCGCCACCGCCGCCTGCTAAGCGAAAGCCCGCCCCCGCGGCGCGCCGGGCCCGACGACGAAGAGCCGCTGCTGCGCGCGCAGGGAGCGACGCGGGAGATGCGCGCGCGCGCGCGCCGCCTGGACCTCTGCCTCCGGGTGGAACGAGAGTGCCTCCGGGCGCGCTGCGCAGCGAACGAGGTAGAGAGCCCCGGGGCGCCTCTCTCCAAACGGGTCATCTCCATAGTTCTCCAGGGAGCGCTCCCGGCGCAACTTTGCGCACCTGTTGGGATGCGCGGGGATTCCACTCCGAGGCAGCGGAGGAAAGGGAGATGCGCCCAGGCGGAAGGGGGGTTGTTTTGCTTCGGCAAATACGGCGGCGGGCGAGGGGGGCCGGCGGCGGGGGAACTGCGGCTTCCCAGGGATAATGCAAGAGATTATTACTGTTCCCTTGTGATATTACTTTCATCATCCAGCGCACGAGTGGAGAGCGGGGGGGGGGGGGGAGGGAGAGGATTATATCTCAGGAAAGCCACACGGATGTTTTGCCAGTACATTTGCAGCGGCAGAGAAATGGAGGCGTGTGGAAAGCCAGACATCTCTGCAAACGCCGCTACCATTTGCCATTTAGGTAGGGCTTCTGTTCTAAGTCTTGCGCATGCAGCAACATCAGAAATCTTTTCCGGTTAAGGTTGGTCCATGTTTTATCTCCGAGACAGGGATGGAGAGAAAGTGGCCGGGGAACCTGTGGCTGATAAGCCCACCTGGTGCGTTTACAGCGAAGGGGCTCGCCTAGTCACACACAGGATCAACAGAAGCCAAAAGATCTCAGTCTCAGACCTGAGACTCAGAGGCATAGATAGCCCCTTTCATGAACTGGATTTTTTGGGTTGGTTTTGGCTAAAGGGATTTTACATCAACAGGGTCATATGCTCAATATATGCACCCTAATGAAAAAATTCTCAGCAGGCAAGAAACAGCTCTTCTTCCTCCTCCTATATTGGAGGTGCTCCCTTAAACACCCCCACTGGCCCTAAAAGTTTGGTAACCTCTGATGGACACAGAGACTGGAAGCAGTTCGTGGCAAATGCACAGAGAATGACCAAAGAAGTATTAATAAGAATGGCCATTGTTTCCTCTTCAGAACAAAGGAGTGAAGGAGCTTTGGTTGGACCTGCCTAAGGTTGTCCTGAATGACCTCAGGTAGTTGTCATTGTCAACTGTTCCTTTAAATGTTTTGGCTTGTTTTCCCACTTCATGGAGTATGGAATCAGCTGCCTTGCGGACTCAGGAGGCAGCAGCAAGGTTGTGGCAGATAACCCACAGGCATGGCCGTGTGGCAAATGGGCACATAATATAATCATAGATTTATGGAGTTAGAAGGGACCATGAGAGTCATCTAGTTCTAGTCCAACCCCCTGCAAATCAGGAATCTTTTGCCCAATGTGGGGCTTGAACCCACAATCCTGAGATTAAGAGTCTCATGCTTCTTTCTATGACTGTCCTGAGATCCTGGTGCAATGTTGCCAAAGATGGGCACTGTTCCTCGTCTTTCCTTTCTTTTTTTTTAAATTTTTTATTAAATTTTCCAACATACATTTATAGTATCCAATCTAAATTTATCACATATTTTCTCTTTTAGACTTCCTTCAACCTCTCTGACAATCATCCATTATTCAAATTTTTAAATACGCATTACCTTTCTTCTGTGCTTCTGATTTCTAGGCTTCTGATTTCTAGGCATATGTTCTTGCCGGCTTCAAAGTCTCTGGCATTTCAAATCCCCCTTTGTACTTGTTTTTATAGTCTTAAGGACTAGAAACTTAATTAAAAGAAGAATCTGCACCAGCTAAAACTTGGGACACTGAATACAGGTGTTTTTTGTTTGTTTGCTTGAAACCACTTGCTGACATCACACATTCCCAGCTTCTTCTTTTGCATTGTTAGTCTAGAGCAGGGGTCAGCAACCTTTTTTCAGCTGTGGGCCGGTCCACCGTCCCTCAGACCATGTGGTGGGCCGGACTATATTTTGAAGAAAAAAATCAATGAATTCCTATGCCCCACAAATAACCCAGAGATGCATTTTAAATAAAAGGACACATACTACTCATGTAAAAACACGCTGATTCCCAGACCGTCCATGGGCCGGATTGAGAAGGCGATTGGGCCACATCCAGCCCCCGGGCCTTAGGTTACCTACCCCTGGTCTAGATGACCCTTTGGGGCTGTTCTAATGCTACAGTTTTACAATTCTGTGAAATCAAAACCTTCCTCTTTCAGGTTCAGCCTCTCCCATTGCTATTTCCCTATACAGTATTGCAATTTTAAAACCCAGGAATCTAAAACAGAACCTGACTAAACAAAGGGCACTTAATCACCTACCCATCACACTGAGCAGCAAAGCAATAAAATGGGCTCAACCTGTAATCTCTCAGTTAATGTTAGAAATTGCATTTGCTGAATGGAACTTACTTGCAAGTAGGCAATATGGAAGGATGCTATAATATAATGCCTTGCTGGATAATATTCTGTAGAATTAAGTGCTTTAATTTTGGTTCCTGCCAATTGAAGAAAAACTGCCTTTGTGATGCTGTAGGGTAGGTCTTTAGTGTGGAAACAACCGGTGCAGTTTTTCCTGCAAAGATTTTGTTGTGGAGAGTGCTGTGGCCTGGTGTCATTTTGCTGCTGCCTTTGTTGCTGCAATTACTATTTTTGCTGTTATTTTCCCTATTGCCTTTGCTGTTTTTTTGAAGTTGTTTTTGTATATTTTGTTATCATAATTTTGAAGGCCACCTCCAAAGGGTGGGGGGGGATAAAATGCTCCAAATAAAGAAAATGAAATAATAAAACCTGCTGAGCCAGGCTCTTCTGGGCCCCCGCCCCATAGCCCGTTGCAGAAAACTCCTGGGTCACTCTGCAGCGATATTTTCATACTCAATCTGTCTGGCATCTTCATCAAGCCATATCATTCCCAATTCCCTAAGGATTAACTCATTTCCCTTTAATGCAAAACGTTGCCCTCATATTTCAAATCTGCCCCAAAGATACAAAATATCCCTGCGACAGAAAAAAAAATTAATTATGTTAAATGGTTGACATTAGTGATTATTTCCTGCCAACGTAGTCCTTTTGATATAATTTTCTTCCAACAATTTAATACGGTGTTAGTGGCATCTAAGGTTACAAGCTTGCAAAAATAATCGGTGTAGATTATTTATTGTTGAGAACTGGAGGTTACCTTATGAGGGGAGGTGGGGTCAAGAGTCACCCGTGGGGCGTGAGAAACTTGCAGGTACATCAACTGGCCACAGAGACAGGAGCTATGAAACTGCAGACGTAGCTTTATCTCTGCCATTCTATGCAACCGTATTTTTAAACCAGAACTGCTGGGGATATTTCTTCATGTTTCTTTCTTTTTTTTGAACGAGAACTAGGAGCTGCACTCCTGCTCATGTTGCTCACCAGCCCACCCTACCCCCTCTCCCACCCTATGCCAAACAACCCCAACCCCACACACTAACCCCTTAGACCTGTCAGTTTGCATTTCTTAGTACAGAAAGTATTGGTTTGATGTGCAGAGATCTTTCCTATTCTATTTAATTCAAGAGGGTTCTGGCAGCTTCTCTGTGTGAAAGAAACAAGCAGAAGGTTCATGATATTTGGGTGATTCCTTCAGAGAAGCTGATTGCAGCTGTCTTAAACTGGTTCTCTTAACTCTTTCTGTCAAGGGCATGCTGTCTATAAGAAGCCAGAAGGAGCCCGGGTTTCACTTGCTTTCTCTATCTCTTTTCCTGTCAGTGTGGTGTTCTGTATATAGTGTTAAGGTTTAGTCTTATTATAACTTATTGTAAGTTTAAGTGAAGTCTGCTGCAACTGGGTTTCTTATGGACAGCGCCATTCCTGAATGTACTGGATTTGTGACCATTATGCTCATTTGCCTTCAGTTGGTACAAAAATGGTATTATACACCTGTAAGGTTCTATCATATTACAAAATCTGGAAGTAAGAATTGTTGGAGGAAATGTGGAGTGATGGGAACTTACAGTCATATGTGGTGGGACTGTCCGTTAGTTAATGAATTTTGGAAACAGAATGGTATAGAAATATCGGGAATTGTGGGTTGGAAGGTGGGAATACAGTGGTGCCTCGCAAGACAAATGCCTCTCCAGACCAAAAACTCGCAAGACGAAAGAGTTTTTCGTTTTTTGAGTTGCTTCGCAAGACGAATTTCCCTATGGGCTTGCTTCGCAAGATGAAAACGTCTTGCAAGTTTGTTTCCTTTTTCTTAAAACCGTTAATGCTTTGTCCTTAAAAAAGAAAAGCATATACAGTGGTGCTTCGCAAGACGAAAAATTCGCAAGACGAAAAAACTCGCAGAACGAATTAATTTCGTCTTGCGAGGCACCACTGTATCTAAATTAATGGTTCTTATTAGTCTGAGCAGCACCGAGTTAAAAACAAAAGAGGAATATGAATGGGTAAAATTGATGGTAACTGCAGCCAGACAGGTTATAGCGAGTAATTGGAAAAATGCAGAAGAGCTAGGGGTGAACCAATGGAGGAAAAAACTGAATAATATTATAATTTTAGAATATCTAACTGTGAAGATTCACAGAATGAAAGGGTTTAAGGTCAGTGAGAAAGAGGAGGATTGGTTTGATAAGATATTGAATTATTTGGGTAGGTTTGA